GTCTGTCTGTCTGTCTGTCTGTCTGTCTGTCTGTCTATCTATCTATCTGTCTGTCTGTCTATTTAACTCTGTCTGTATGTCTGTCTGTCTATCTATCTATCTGACTGTCTGTCTGTCTATTTAACTCTGACTATCTATCTATCTATCTATCTAATCTGTCTGTCATTTTCTCTGTCTGTCTGTCTGTCTATCTATCTATCTAATCTGTCTGTCATTCCCTCTGTCTGTCTGTCAACCTGTCTATCTATCTATCTATCTATCTATCTATCTATCTATCTATCTATCTATCTATCTAATCTGTCTGTCATTCTCTCTGTCTCTCTGTCAACCTATCTATCTATCTATCTATCTGTCTGTCTGTGAGTCGTATCTATCTATCTATCTATCTATCTATCTATCTATCGTCTGTCTGTCTGTCTATCTGTCTATCTGACTGTCTGTCTGTCTATTTACAGTTTTTCTCAGTCGCTTTGGTGCATTTCTCACATCACTATTTACATTTGCACAACAGTTAATGCAGTTCTCAAAACAATTAGTACAAACTGCAAAACCTAGTTGATAACCTGCAAAAGCGTGTCACTTGCTCAAAATGGATAGGTCATTCCTCAAAAGCAAGTATTCATGTCAATGAAAGTGTCAGTGTCATCAAGATGAAAAGTCCTGACACCATTGTTTATGAACAAGATAGTCAAATGGCTTTGTCATGTTTTCATTATGACAGTTTACTCTGTCAATGTTTTCCAATGCAAAAAAGTCAGATCTTGGTGACACTACCTGAAAATGCTCAAGACAGCACTATATACTATTTGCACAGCCATTTGAAAAATACAGTAAAGTTACACATTACTGTATTTAGTGAGGTAACTGAGTACAAGACACTGAATATGTATGTTTCACATTTTTACTGCATATGCTCTTTGCAATTCTAATTTGTTCACAGCATTGTGCAAAAGAAAAAAAATACACCCTTATTTACAACAAACATAAACTCCCTTTGGGTAGAGCTGTGCACAACATTGCAGTACATATTGGAACTGAACATACAACATACATAGTACTGTAATCATTCATGCACATCCAGACGTTCCTCTCTGTCTGGCCACACTATCTATCTATCTATCGATCTATCTATCTATCTAATCTGTCTGTCATTCTCTCAGTTTGTCTGTCTCTCTGTCTGTCTGTCTGTCTATCTATCTAATCTGTCTGTCATTCCCTCTGTCTGTCTGTCTGTCAACCTATCTATCTATCTATCTATCTATCTATCTATCTATCTATCTAACTGTCTGTCTGTCTGTCTATCTAATGTGTTAGAGATGGTAACAGAATAGGATTATTTTTGTATATAGCTATATATCTTGATGTGGCCCCACCTTGAACTGTTTGGTTCAGGTGTGTCCCTGTAGGCTACTGTGTCAGTGTGAGGCGTGACACTTCAGTATGAGTAATCCCACGCTCTTTCCATTCAGTACATACACAGCAAGGACACAAATGTGACAACTTATTGCAGTCTGACTGAAAACAATGTGGAAAAATATATGGAATAAGGTGAGTCTCAGAAAATTGAAATATTAGTTTACTCGAAAAAGCATTATGAGAATATAAATTAAAACCTCTACTTAATGCTTCATATTGCAGGTGTTCATGGTCCTGATAGTGGGGAACCTGTTTATGCCCACTGACACAAAGTACAACAGTAGAGAAGGAAAGTCTCGGAGACGGAAACTGGAGTCTCATCCTCGCCGGAATGCCTCGTCTATCAGAATATCCCCAGATCCAATGATGACAGGTCCAGAATCAGGAGTGATGCCTGGTGCTGTTGAAATTGACTTTGACAAGAGTATCGAGGACATGGTGTCTCAGGTCCGAAACAATCCCAACTTATCCATAAACAAATGTGTGGTGGATCGCAAACTTTGGATGTCAAACAGTCGCAGCCTTTCTCCCTGGTCCTACAGGTTAGTGTATTATGGAGTTCATTGTTAGTTTCATCTTTGAAATTCAAACATTATGAATATTATCATTATTTAACCCCTATGTTCTGATTAAAGATTGAGAGACCTCAAAGCCCTGTTTAATTAGGCTAATATAAAAACCATGCATGATATTGAAGTATGAAGTTAATACATGAGAGTCTTTAGTGTCAGGCATGTTTCAGGATTCTTTGATGAATAGAACTTTAAAGAACAGCATTTATTTTAAACAAATATTATTTGTACCATTATAAATGATTATTTTATGCATCCCTGCTCAATAAAATTATTACATTCTTTCAAATACTGCCCCAGTTTTGCTATCACAGGAACAAATTACAATTTAATATATATGTATTTAAAAAAAAAAAAAGTTATTTTAAATTGCAACAATATTTCACAATAGTAGTTTTTGCTTTGATTAAATAAGCAAATAAGAAAAACTAATTTTACCAACCCCAAACTTTTGAGCAGTATAGTGTATAGGCCTATCTTTTACCTTAATGCCATTTATTGAATGTCTTTGGGCAGAATCAACCACGATGAGACCCGCAAACCCGTGGACATCCCGGAGGCCGTGTGTTCGTGTGTGGGCTGCATCAATCCTTTCACCATGCAGGAGGATCGCACCATGACCAGCGCCCTCATCTACGCCAAGATCCCCGTGCGCAGACTGTTGTGCCATCGGCCAACCAGGAAACCGACGAAGCAGAAGAAATGCGTTCCCCGTTACAGATCGGTGGTGGAGGGCATTGCCGTGGGGTGCACGTGCATCGTGGGATAGCTGAGTGGGACCACTCACTAAAACAGCCGTGGCTGTGCAGGCGCCTTTTCTATTTTGAAAAGGTGATTTTATTTAAGATTTTGAACATTTAATGTCGTTAAGTATTAATAACTTGCATTGTGCAACACAAAAAAAAATTAAAAAAAAATAAATATATATATATATATATATATATTTATTTATTTATTTATATATAATATAATAGTATAATACACTCTAAAAAATGCTGGGTTGTTTCAACCCAACTTTGGGTCAAATATGGAATTTAATGCTATGTCTACAATAGCCAATTTTCAATAATGTCCTGTGGTTTGGTACAAATTCATGGTAGCCTGTCAGGGTTGTCTGTTTAAGATCGCCCTCTACTGACCAAAATATAAGATACAGTGATAGAAAGAGGAGACGCATACATTTATGATGTCATGTTTTGTTTTGTTTTTCTTCATGTTTTTCTTTCATTTTAATGTGGGGATGGTAACGGGTTTCACACATAACCCGAGGACACAACTTTAAAGTATTTTTAATAAATATTATATTTACTATTTTTCTCATATTTTCCCAAAATAGGATATAGCCTAGTTATTTTCAGGTTTTTAATGTAGGCTATTTGCAAATCGAGAACTGGTAAAATTATCGTGTCTTTACCGTAAAAAGACACGGTAGGCTATATAGCTAGGCTATATAGCCTAAATATTGTATCGTGCCAGCTCTTAACTGAAGTCAACGTTTAGTGACACACAATGCCCACTTTGCAATTTTTTTAAACATTTATACAATGATTTCATGATTCAAATGATTGCAAGTTCATGACATATGCTAATGAGGGAAGTACATCTTGTGTTTATTATGTTTAATAGGCCTAAATGTAATTAAAATATGTTCTTCATCTTAAATACGACTCAATGTGATATTTTGCTACTTGGGTTGTTCTTACAAACAATCACACATTAGGACGATAGCCTACTTTAAACAAGACATTTCAGCTTCTGGTCTCATGTGCGCCATCAGCAGGACTCGAAGAGCCGAGTCCTGCATCATCTCAATCATATTAGTGATCAGCGAGGAACAGTACGCTAGCTAATAGAGAAAAATACAGGAGAAGGACGCATCATGCCCGGTATGTGTTTGGCTGATGAGATGACGGATAATCTTCAACTGAAAAACATGACTTTAAGTCTGACTATTACTGTTGTTTGATTGCGAGAAGGACGCGGTCCCGGTGAGCGAATCTGGTGCTTGGTGCAGGTGAAGGGTCCATCGGAGGTGACGGCAGCAGAAGGTAGGAGCTGCCAGACATCTGGACAAAATGATGCACTCTCAGTGATTACTTTTAACGCTCTCCGTGGGATATTTTTAATGTTACAAACTCATAATTTACTCTCAGTTATATAGCCTATACGTTTAATGTGATATTTTAAATAAAGGCTTTTCAGACTTTTTGACGTAAGGACTCAAACTTTATGACCCCTTCATTATGTGACCCTGGACCACAAAACCAGTCATAAGGGTCAATTTTTTGAAAATGAGATTTATACATCATCCGAGAGCTGAATAAATAAGCTTTCCATTGATGTATGGTTTGTTAGGATAGGACATTTTATATGATATTTGGCCGAGATACAACTATTTGAAAATCTGGAATCTGAGGGTGCAAAAAAAAAAAAAATCAAAATACTGAGAAAATCGCCTTTAAAGTTGTCCAAATTAAGTTCTTAGCAATGCATATTACTAATCAAAAATTAAGTTTATATATATTTACGGTAGGAAATTTACAAAATATCTTCATGGAACATGATCTTTACTTAAAATCCTAATGATTTTTGTCATAAAAGAAAAATAGATAATTTTGACCCATAGAATGTTTTTTTGGCTATTGCTACAAATACACCCATGCGACTTATGACTGGTTTTGTGGTCCAGGGTCACATATATTAGCAGATGTAGGCCAGTATTTTAATTTCATTCATTTTCAATTTTTTTAATTAAGTATGCTATTTTAAAGTGATATTATATTAAAAATGTCCTAAAATTATATAAATTACTTTTATATTGATTACTAAAGACAAAGGAAATTATTAAAACGTTTACTTTTATTAAAATGCACATTGTTCTACCAATTTAAGTACAATTGAGCACAAATGAAGAGAAACATTTTAAGAATATATATATATAATATATATATACATACAGTATATACTGTATATATAGCCTACACTTTATGTTTTTTATAATCACTCAATATAATTGTTCCACTTTTTGCAGTGAAATGTATAAGAGAAAACACTGAACTTTAAGATGTTCCTCTGTCTTCTGACAAACAACCTGTTGCGTTCCCATAATTGTATTTTTGTCAAGAGCGTGGATGTGACAACATTATGCTAGTGAAGCAGAAATAGCCTGCTTGCCAAGATACTGCCATTCTGAGTATGAAATATTGTTTTGAGCCAGAATATAAAACTCAGAAATTTGGCCTAATCATTCAAACAGCTACACTAATAATTTGAAGAATGTCTGTGAATTAGGCAAGACTAATATACAGTTAATTGAGCGGCAAGCAGAATATTCCATTTACCTATTCACTGAAACATGCACAAAATTGCATATTGCAGCTGGACTGCATGGCATGTCCTTTTTATAGCTCTTTACTATATAACAACTCAAATCTGTAGGCAACCACTATTTCAGCTTTTCGGATTCAATATATCCAAGACTGTCAATCTATATTTAGAAGCTCTTGTGGCTCATAAATATTCATTGAGGTTTTAGTGCTTTCTTAAAAAAAGATGCAGCATGAGTTCCCAACAGTGAGTCAAGCAGCGTGTGTCAGGGAGTAGGAGGAGAGAGAGAAAGAGAGGGATGGTTGGCGAGAGTGAACTCTTTGATATTTTAATATGCTGATACCCGGGGGACCAGCACAGATGGCACCTGTTCTCAGAGGCACTGGCCACTCTCGCTGACTACTCAGTGTGTGATTTCCGGCACCAAATATCATACATGAATCTTCACATTTGCACTGGGGGGTTCGGGTGCCATTTGTCTTAGCAGATGTAGGCCAGTATTTTAATTTCATTCATTTTCAATTTTTTTAATTAAGTATGCTATTTTAAAGTGATATTATATTAAAAATGTCCTAAAATTATATAAATTACTTTTATATTGATTACTAAAGACAAAGGAAATTATTAAAACGTTTACTTTTATTAAAATGCACATTGTTCTACCAATTTAAGTACAATTGAGCACAAATGAAGAGAAACATTTTAAGAATATATATATATCCAAGACTGTCAATCTATATTTAGAAGCTCTTGTGGCTCATAAATATTCATTGAGGTTTTAGTGCTTTCTTAAAAAAAGACGCCAGCGTGAGTTCCCAACAGTGAGTCAGGCAGCGTGTGTCAGAGAGTAGGAGGAGAGAGAGAGAGAGGGATGGTTGGTGAGAGTGAACTCTTTGATATTTTGATATGCTGATACCCGGGGGACCAGCACAGATGGCACCTGTTCTCAGAGGCACTGGCCACTCTCGCTGACTACTCAGTGTGTGATTTCCGGCACCAAATATCATACATGAATCTTCACATTTGCACTGGGGGGTTCGGGTGCCATTTGTCTAAATAAATAAATAAACAATTAGCTAAGTGTTTGTTCAGTATCAGAATTATGACATATGTTTCTGTTTAAGGTGTTAACAAGAGAATTGCATGCCCATACTTTTAGATTGAGTTTGATTAAGCAGATGGTCACTGCTTCTAAGTGCGACCTCTGTGCATATTAAATAAAATAGAAACAAATATGATGCAATTAACTCATAAACAGTGCACATACACTGCAAAGCAAAACAATGGCAATATATAATTTAAAACAAAATTTAATGCTATAACATGATCTACTGAAATTGTGGGCACTGGCCACTCAGATTGAATATATTTGAAAATATTATGTTTAACAAGACAATTCATGTATTTTTACAGTGAAATATTGTAAAAGCCTTTTAAGTTGTAGCTAAGTACACTTTCAGAAAAAAGGTACAAAAGCTGTCACTGCGGCGGTACCTTTTCAAAGGGTACTAATATGTAAACTTTAGACAATAATATGTATACTTTTAAGGTACAAATATGCACCCTTTAGGGGTACAAAATTGTATCTTTTGAAAGGGTACTGCCCCAGTGACAACTTTTGTACCTTTTTTTATGAGAGTGTATAAAGTGCAAGTCATATTTTAATTTATGGTGAAAAACATAAAATGATGTTCCCAGACATTCCCAAAACGTGACAAGTCACAACTGATTATATTTTTTATAGTCCTATTTTTATTATTATTTTGTTGTCAGTACATTCAGGTATTTTTGTTACATTTTTAGATTGTTTAGTTAATGTTTTTGCTATTAGTCTATAGGCCTATTAGTTTTACTCTGGTGGTGTCTTATGTTTACATGCTAGGCTATATAAAACCTTAGTCAGATAAGACGACATCCCTAACAGGGAACTTTCTCATAACTGTCACGAACATTTTTTAAAAGTTATATAAATGTTAGGACAAGATGTTTGCATAACGTTAGGCTATTAATAGCCATGAATAGCCTATTTGATATACATTCTCATAATGTTGAGAGAAAACGTTCAGAACAACATTCTCTGGGCGTCCATACGATGTTATTTCCAATTGATTATCATAATGCTGAGAGAAAATGTTGGTTTTTGTAACCTTTATATTACGTTACAATCACGACACGAAAGCTAAACATGTCAACGAGTTAAAAACATTTCAAAACAATGTTCCCACAACGTGTTTGTAACCTAATGGCATACAGTACATAGCCTAATGCGAAAACGAAGCTGTGATGAATAGCCTTACAGTCATTACAGTGGCACGCATAGGTCCTAGATCAAATAACTCGCACCTTTTAAAAATGTTTTATGGATTTTTTTCTACTGAAAGTTTTTTCCCTCTCTCTGTGAAAAATTTTCAGATGTTGTTTAAAAAAACAATACAATCCATT